TCGTGTTGAAAGTTTGGTAACTGTTTAATTATTTTAAATGTTAATGAAAAACAAACAAACTAATTGATTTTTTCTTTTATTATAAAAGCAAAATTATATTTTAGTACATTATACACCAATTCTAGCTAATACATTAATTTTTGTTTGTTTGTTACGCTTTCACCCAAAAACCATTGAACTAATTTTGATAAATTTTGGTATAAAGATAGTTTTGATAAGGGAAAATAAAATATGCTATTTATTTGGCTCAAAAAATTATTTTAAGGGTATAAAATAAGGGATGAAAGTTGGTATGAAGATTCAAATATGATTTAAGTTCAACAATTCAAATCTAGATGGCGTTAATGTGCATTATCAATGTTTCCCAATTTGTTTTTTTTAATAAAATTAATTTTTTTTAGGAAAATCGGCTAATAATGGATCCAAGAAACAAAAAAAGTAAAAACCAAGTATTACTAAAATATACCTCGACAAAATCGCGTGTTAAAGGTAATATTACAATAAATTAGGATCCATTACGTGTATATTATAAGTAATTTACGTTGCTAATTAAAGTTTGTTGCTCATATACCGCCTTGCCGGTAATACAAATTTAATTAACGACATTAACGTAATCGTCGGGCTTCCTATAAATTCACAAACTGCTCAAACTGAGCTGTGAGCTCACATTTCCCTGCTAAACTTTATTAAGTACGCGTATCAGAAACTTCTGGTGGTACATGGGTGCATTGAACAGTCAAACACAAATTTCCCCCCATCTAAATCTAACCCTGGCAATGAAGAATAATGTTGATTGCTTCATTTTTTCATTAGAGTAATATGATAAAACACAGCGCAAAGAATATAAATGATTGCAATTTATGAAATGTTGTAATTTTTCTTCGCTTGTTTGCAGACAGACGAGCAAGAAACAGCGCGGCGTATAGGAGGGAAAAAAGTCAATTTCATTAGAATTCCGGTGTGGGGCGTTATAATCCGCGCAAAAAGGTCGGTTTATCTTAATTAACTTCATTTAACGCAGCGCGTTCTAGAGTTGGCAAACTTAGGCCGGCAACGTGCAAAGTTTTCCGTCATATTTGTTGTCTAATACGATTTACGCCTATTTCACACGAGTAGGAGGTGTTTTAATGAGTTGATAATTTAATTGAGCGTCAAGGGTATTAGGATGACAAATTTATTATATTCAACATCATATTGCGCTTTGATAGTTAAATACCGGTTGGAATTATGATTAAGTTGGGTGAATATTATATTGTCCAAGGGTAAAAATAAAGTAAAAATATGCTTTGCTAGGTTTTTAATTGAAAAATTTTGTTTTTGTGTTATTTCTGGATAGTAAAGTGAATTTTTATGAGAAATAAACTTAAATTATCTAGAATTCAGGCAATATCTTTGTAATATTCAATTTTAAGTTTGAGTTTAATTGATTTTATAGATTTTGTCTTCTTTGACTATTTCTTCACTTTTTTCCCTTCTTTTTGACTTTTATTTTTTAATGAAAGTGTCACTATAAAACATGGACCTTTTTAAAATTATTGAAAAATTTATTTATAATCTTATTATGCAATTAAATAATCTATAAATTTTAAGAAAATCTAACATTTTATAGAACTATACTTTTTTTATAAGAATTGAGTGAAAATTGAGAAAAATCACTAAAAAAACCGTTAATTTTTTAAAATTTACATTTTGTTATCAAGAAGTTTTGAAAATTGATAGTTGAGCCGCTTATTTTGAAAGTGACCTAACTCCGTTTTTCAATTTTTTGCCGGTTACCATGGTTACATGTACAACTTCATGTTATTTATCAGTGACGCACTTCAGATTGCTTATATTCAGAGAAAATACGGTACATTTTTTACACATAGGTTTTCCGAATTAATTGAATAACTGACCCGTGTGGTTTGAAAGTGGCCTAACTCCATTTATAGTTACATCAAGGTATTTATTATTGATAATGTCGGAAAGCAGCGATGAAGGTCATTTCAATTAATTAGTATTTACAAGTCCACCTCATTTTTGGGACAATTGCGTTAGTTAATTAACCTGTACGTTTAATTAATATAAAACTTAAAATTTAATATTAAATTATAGAAATTATTGCAAGCATGAGGAAGAACCGAAGAAGACCACTTAGTTCAGATAGTGAAAAAGAAATAGTAATTAATAATTTTAAAAAAGCGAATAAGAAAAAGAGTTATAAAATAAAATTCCTCGTCAGAGGATGAAGATTCAAATAACAATGGAGAAAAGATTGATGCACCATATATCCAAAAAGTGCGAAAGATAAAACGGAATTCAGGAAAAAGATATTGCAGTTAAACCGGAAGTATTGTTCATGAAAAAAATTTCGAACCAAAGATTGTGGTTGTCGGAATGCGTGCACAAAAAATTATAATGAAGAAGAAAGAAAGAATATTTTTGAGAAGTTTTGGGGTTTGGCAGATTTTAACAAACAAAATGTATTACTTCACGAAGCTGCCTGTGAAACGAAGACGTTTTTTCTTCAATTTGAAACATCTTAAATTATGTTGAATGGACTTGGGCATCTTCAAATTTTATAATGAATCTGGCTGTTAATTTTGAAAGTGGCCCAACTCCATTCTTGATAAGGAAACGCACGTTATTTACTTAATAATTGCCACTACTTTAACAGGAACAGTAAATTTAACATCCTAAGATACGCTTAAGCAGTATGACTCCTTTGTATCTTATACGTATATTTTTAAATTCATTGAAACGCAAAACTTTCAATATCTCGATTTGAAGATAAATGGAGTTAGGCCACTTTCAAAATAAGCGGCACAGTTATTACTTTTAATCCTTTTTATAAAACATAAAAAATAAATAAAAATAATTTCTGTAGTTGAATGTTGTTTAACATAGCTTGAGTTGCAATACAAGTATAAGAATTTACATTAATTCAAATTTATATAGGGGCTAATTATTATTTTTCATGACAATAATGACTCTAAAAAAATAAATTTGTCTCCGAATTTACAAAATTATGCAGAAACACTTTCCAAACTTCAATTTTTTATGCCCCCACTGTCAAAATTTAATTAAAATAATATTTTCACATTAAATTTGTAGTAAATTAAAACTAAAGTCCTCTGGAAACAAGGACAAGGATGCGTTTAATGTATCTCGCCCACTGCGAAGCTGCTGCGGTCGTTGCTGCCCACTCAAACACCCATGCCACCCACACGTCCTTCGCCCGCTGTCGGCTTGCGTTCGGCAACGCTTAACATCGCTGCTTGCAAATTGCCAATGGCAAATGTTCGAAATGTCCCAACATGTTAATTTTCATATCCACCCACACTAATTCCCACCTATAAATGTCCATATCAATGCGAATTCGCTGATTATAATTACGTTCATAAATATTAATCATCGTTTGGCGGTTTCACAGCATCATAAAAAAATTAACTAATATTATCCATTGCATTGTTAATAATACCACGCATATAAAATAAATTAGAATATATGACTGTCATTTTTGGTGTAATGGCATTAAAATATTCCCTTGGGGTTGTCTTTATTACGCAACTTGTTCTAATTAGTTCATATGAAATGTCTTCATGTGCTTGTTTCAGTTGTTCATATAATACGGTTTATTATGTTTCGTTCGTGTTCGTCCTTGTTCACTTTTAATTTGAGTTCATTCACAATATCGGATAATTCTACATGCTTCTGCGTATTAGATTATCTCGACGTATTTTCATAGTCAGCATGGAGAATCCTTCGGGGGCTAAGTTGGAATTTATCTTACCTCGCATATTGCATTAAAACTTCGTATGCTAACTTTACTTAACTAGGATAGGCATGCGGACTGTAATTGAAAGTTACTAAAATTAGAAATTTATTTAATAGAATGTGACTGAAAAATGGAAAATTATTTTATTGTTTTTTTTTTAATTACAAGGTTCATGTTTAGTTATATATCTATCTATTGTATTTATATATAAATGTTAGTTACAGCGTTTATAAATTAAAAACGGCTAGACAGATTTTGATGATGTATGATTTATTGAATTTGTTTTAGTTTCTAAGAGCAGAAGAACTATTAAAATATCAAAAATTATGACTTAAAGGGTGTTAAATCTATAATATAGAAATAAATAGCAAAATATGTTGGTAAGCGCATAACTCAACAACGCTTAGACCAATTTGGCCAATTCTTTTGTTTACTTGTTTTTTAAGTCCAGGGATGGTTTTTACGGCGAGAAATATTCGAATAATTGCCGGGAAAACCCTAAAGATAGCCTTTTTCTATAGGATAAAAGTTGGCATTGAGATTCAATCATAGTTATAGTTAAATAATTGATTCCCAGATGGCGCGCTGAAGTGCATTATTAGCAATTCTTTATATTATTAATTTCTCTTAAATAAAATTGCAAATCTTATTGATAGAATTGACACATACTATGTCTAGAACAAGAGAGTAAAAACGTATTACATTTTTATTAAACACTACCGGGACGAAGTCGTGGGCAAAAGCTAGTATAAATATAAATGCGAATGTAATTATGTCTGTTTATTTGTAAGTTTTCACGCTAAAACTATGGAGCCAATTTTAATAACAAAACCAGTCTACTTTTCATTACAAAAACATAACGTAATGCGTATAAAATAATGGATGAAATTTAATTTATTTAATTATAGTTATTATAGTTTTTATAGTAATTATATAATTTGAATAATGATGTTATTAAATTGTATTATTAGCATACCTCATTTCATTGAATTAAAATTAAAAGCTTATTGAAGGATTCAATACAAACAGATAAAAAAAAAATTAATTTATTATTTTAATTAATTTATTATTTATTACAATCCACGTGGCCATAGTCGTAGTCATTATTTACACATATAAAATAAAATTTAATCCAAATTTAAATTTATTTTCATAATTCAAATTTTAAATTAAAAAATAACTCAAAACCAATTATTATTCATTAACACTAAAAATAAATAAATAAATCCAATAAATACAAATATATTTGAAAATCACCTTTATTAATGTTTATTTACAATAATTATCCATTTTATATGCAGCTGCAAGCGTTGGTACTCTCCATATTTACAAATTGTTGTAATATTTTACATTCATTAGGATACAAATATTTTCCGTAGCATCTACATTCTGATTATTTTGCGTTAACATATAATATTTTCACAAGTTTTTGCTGCCTCGGCAGTTATACCTGCGTCTAGGATTAATATTTACACTGTTATGCACACATATTTACGGCTAGACAAACACGGATATTACATTAGTGTGTCTGCAGGTCTGCAGGTCGGGAAATTGGATGAAAAGCTCGTGCGAGGAATTTTTATGATAAGAAACCCGTCGTCGGTGTGCGTAACCCTGTGAAGAAGAAAATGATATGCAAATATCAGATCTATGATGATGAAACATTTTTCACTCGACTTTCAACCACAAATTTCACGTCTCGCCGCCTTTCAAAACTTTTCCCTGCTGAAGATTAAAATAATTAATAATTCATTATTTTAATTTGGGCGTTACTTAAAAGTTTGTAAGTAACAACTTAACGGTAATTGTTTTGAAGCCGATTTAAGCTGAAATTAATTTATGAACATCTTCAACAACGTTTAAAGCAGTTTTAAAGCATATTTAGTGAAGATTGATATGAATTTGATATGTGATGATGATGATGATAATAATAACCTCAATTTTACTCAGCTCCATCTTTGTATCTGTCATTTCACTCAATCAGTCTCTAATTTTATTTTTATGAAAAAAAAAAACTGCGTTTAAACTGAATCAGGTGCTGGTTCCCATGTGAGTAGTTGTAAGCTGGTGGATTTTGTAATGCCCGAATGGTGTCCGATAATATTTCGTGCCTCAGCTGCAAGATTACCGTAAGATGGCACCATTTTCGAGCGTTTCGATTTGATTGTACGCGTGTATAACTTGAGCACCTGGCAATTGCACGTGACCAGCATAGCGACAAAAATGCCCTGAAGCCCTTGCCCCACATGATAAGCGATCCACAGTGTCTCTGATTTGATAAACATTGTCAGTGCGCCGAGGACCATCACCGATGATAATACCATTGTTATCTAAACATAACACAACCCAGAATACAAAAATATTATTAGTTTAGGATAGGCAACCAAATTTACATGTTTTTGTAAAACTATATTAGTAAATTTGATATGGGTAGGTCTAGCGGTTTAAAGATAAAGGGATAAATACCTTGGTAAATAGGACGATCTGAAGGGTCCGCTTCCTGCGCATCTTGTCACGTACGCGCTTATCAACCTGCATGCTGATGACGTAGCGCGAGACGACGGCCGCGCGCAGGAGATAGGAAAGTGTTATCAGGACGATTAGTGCCACCGGCACCAGCAGGCCGTAGATGAAACCGTTCTTGTCTAAAAACCTGCGAACAAAGCGCACACGCACAAGAAACGTGCTTTTAAAGTGGAATACACATTATGCGAATTTCATTAGACAACTAACGAGAAGTAATTACGCGAAAACTTTGCTAATTAAAACAAAATGTGTCTGGATTTATAATTTTTTATAAATATTTTTAATGTGTTAATGTTTTTCTTGTTAATCCTCTGCAAACATTGTTGTCTACAATATCTTCAAAGATGTTTATCCGTGTGAAAATGTTGTGCGAAAGTTTCGACTGAGATTTACAATTAGTAAACTCTAGTTTTCGCGCTGCGAGTGGAGTGTTTTAAGTTGCAAGTTGAGTTTGGCGTTAAATGTGTTGCGAGGATGTTTGTTTGGCCCGAGGCAGTCGCGCGGCAAATTAAACCGGGCTGATAAATGAATTTTCTTAATCCGCCATTACACACGCCTCTGCACGCGCACCTGCACAGCAATCTGCGAACTTAAACAATAACGCAGTCCCTGGTGAACTTTAACTTTAATCGCGGAGCTTCTCTGCTCAGACTTGACACTATTTTGTATAAGAAGAGTCTTAAAAAGATTTGCGCTTGTGAATTATAGGCAGATGTTATATCATGTAGATGTTATTTGGGTTGCCTATAGTTGTAGGTATAAAGTAAATGTATTTTGATGTATCTTTTTTGTTTATATTTAGTTTTTAATGAGTTTGGGATATAATTTAAATAAAAACGTAAAAAAACAATAAAATTCATAAAAAAATTGTTTATCTTGTTTGTAGAATCGAAACAAGTGTTATTCTCGTAAATCTATCTATAATATAAAAATGAATGGCAAAATCTGTTGGTAAGCGCATAACTCAACAACGCCTGGAACAATTTGGCCAATTTTTGTTTTAACATGTTCGTTAAAGTCCAAGGATGGTTTTTACGACGAGAAAAATTCGAATAATTGCCGGGAAAACCCTAAAGACAGTTCTTTTCTATAGGATAAAAATTGGCATTGAGATTCAATCATAGTTATAGTTAAATAGTTGAATCCGAGATAGCGCGCCGAAGTGCATTATTAGCATTTCTTTATATAATTAATTTCTTTAAAATAAAATTGCGAATCTTATTGATAGAATTGACACATACTATGTCTAGAACAAGAGAATAAAAATTAATTACATTTTTATTAAACACTACCGAGACGAAGTCACGGACAAAAGCGAATTTTAAATAAATATTAAATTAAACATGGATTACCAATTAAAGAGAGAAAATAAAATATTAAGTAATTTGATCAAGTGAAATATAGACAACTTTAAATGTTTAGATGTTATATAAGTTGCCTATGGTTGTATGTTTAAAGTAAATGTATTTTGACGTATCCTTTCTATTTATACCTATTTTTTAAAGAGTCTGGGGTATAATTTCCCTGCAAACGTAGAACTTCTGTGAACCTATCTGCATTCTTGAATAATGCATTTTATGCTGCATCGTAAAGCACGTCTCCGACCCAAACCCTCGAGACTTGATATTCGAGCGAATTTTATAAATATAAATCGCATCAATTCTTATTATGTAAATGTAGCTCTAACTCAGCAAATATAAAAAAAAATTAACAGCTCTCACACGTTGTGAATAAGATGTTATGTCTGGCATCACCGACGAGACTTTGATCTCTAAATTTCTTGTAAATCTAAAGCGTATCGCGTCTAATTCGACCGAGAAAGCAACTAGTTTACTAGAACGGGGGCGGCACTCACCAGCAATTGTGCACTTTGAGGCTGGCGGTGTCCAACATCTTGCCGGCCTTGTCGTGGTACTGGATGAGGACGGCGGCGGCGAGTAGCAGACCGGGTACGCCCCACGCGAGCACCGAATATCTGCAACGAAAACGGCAATCGAATTATGACCCGCAGGCGCCGCTCTAATCGAATTTGCGTCGGGCTTTTAGCGATGCGCCACTTACTTCCATACTGGTAGTTGGAACAGAACGGAAAGTGAAATTGGAATATTCATGCATATGCCTTTGTTAACTATATAATACAACTATTACTACAGGATTGTGTTGAAAATAAGAAGAGAAAATAGTATATTTAGTAACAAGTGGCTAAACGAGGGCTTTAACAACGTTTAGTCACGAGGTGCTTACGCTATTTTTTCTACTTCCACTCTAGTTCAACGTTGCAATTTTTGTATTTCAACTTTTGTATTTTAAATCATCGAAATTTGCTCGCACACTTATCCCATGTAACGCTTCGGTTCATATCGTGCCCTTCCGATACGAGCAGCAGCAGCGCCTGCTTTGACGAGTTTGACTGACGTCACATGACATTTCATACCGCCTTGTGCTGTTCCGTAGGCAAATGCGCAGGCGCTTGCTCCGTCCCGTGCATAATGCAAGTATGTACATAATGAATATTATGTATGTCTTGGCCGTCCGTATATAAATTACCACTTTTTGTGTCTAAAAACCGTGGATAAACTGACGCTTTATAGGTGGAAGTAAATAAAATATTTTTTTAATGAGCAAACATATAATTTTTTAAATAAATTAAAACATGGCTGGGTTTCTCATTAATTAGCGGTTTTCAAGCATACACGAGAATAGAATTTTGCTCATTAGGACATTTTTTCATAAAGAATCTCATAAACTCGCCGCCCACTCCAGTTACGCTGAATTTATATAAACACGCTTTTTCCGACCGGGTGCGCATTAGCCCGGAAGAAAAAACACTACAATAGCGCACAATGATACACAATGGTACAAAGGGAGTGGGGGTGTAGGAAAAGCTAAAGGACTGCAAACGTAATTGAAAGCAGGCTGAGAGAAGGCGACATTCAGTGGCGACCGCAAACTCAGTATTGTTAAATTCACGCAATCAGATGGGGACCAGGATGAAACGGGGCGCGACTGGGTGATGTTGCAATGTCAATGGAATGGGGCCTATGGGACAGCGCAGGATGGCGTTTTGCCTTTGGCGTCTAATTAAACAAAACTCGGGGCCGCTTAATAAACAAACAGGAAGCAAAGGCGGCGTTTTGAATGGTCGCAGAGGCGTGAAAATACTACACAATTCAAAGGGAATTTCGGAGAGGTACAAATTTTTTACTTTAGGACTTTTCAAAATTAAAATTTTAATTTATACCGACATAAATATATTTTCACTAATAAATGTGCATAAATGCGAATGTGAGGCATTATGTTTGTTAGTGACGCTTTTATGCAAAAACCTTTGAAGCAATTTTTATAAATTTTGGTTTAAAGATATTTTTAACCAAGGAAAATAAAATAGGACATTGTTGGTCGTAAAATTATTACTTAAAGGGCGTAGAATACGGAATGAAAGTTGGTGTACATCGGACTAGCACATAATAGACCCAAAAATAAAAATAAATTAATTCAACCTATATCTATATAAAAAATAATATTGGGTTAGTTAGATCACTTATAATTCAAGAACGGCTGGACAGATTTTGATAATCTATGATTTGCTGGATTTGTCTCTGTCTCAAATGGAAGAATACTTATGAAAATATCAAAAATTATGACTTACAAGGTGTTAAACAAAGAATGAAAATTGCTATAGAGATTCAATCATAGTTATAGTAATATAATTGAAACCGAGATGGCGCTAAAGTCAATTATTATCAATTCTCATTAAAATAGCAAATTTTATTAATAAAAAAATAATTACTTCTTTACTAAGAATTACAGCAACAAAATCATAAGAAAAAAATAGTTTTTTTTAATATTTAACTTACTTGATAAAATGCCTTCCAATTGAATTATCAGTAATGGGCACCAAATTTAAATTAGTAGTAAATTGTGTGTACATATGATGGGCCATCACGAGCATCCAGCAAAAAACGCACAGCCGTATGTAGTGCAGCGAAAACGCCAAAGAAACACACAATTCAGGATCCTGCAACATAAAAACACACTCCCATCAACTTTTTAGAAGAAAATGTAATATTCGATATCTACTGGTGACTTGTGAAAACGTCCCCGAGAGATTCAAAAGATTTGCGCATTTTTAGTGATTCTCGGTGACACATCTCAATAGCCTGCAAATCAGCAGCTCCCAAAAGCCCGACGGGCGTTGAATATTGATACCTGAGATCGCGCAGATTGCTGGATTTCACACGAATAGAGACTCAAAAATGCAATATCACAATATCATAATATCAGACCAACCAAATTGAAATGTCAATAAAAGCAGTGTATATACAGGGTGCTTTTTATTTAGTTTATTTAGTTCATGCAGTGGATTTTGCGGATTACACGCGATTAACATGAAACTGAAAATGTTTCCGCAGAGTTTGCAGCTCATTCATCACCAGCACGGATCCAATATCCGGGTTAAACGTATGTATAGTCTGTAACGCCCAACGTTTAGCAATAATTAATCGATTGTTGGAGCGTTACTCGTAGAGCAACGCCAATTTCGCAGTTAATTAACCAAAATTGGGCTTCATTGTGTTGGGACCAGACAAAGCCATCAATATGTACGACATGAGAACGTTCAACTCACTAATTGCTTCATATGAATCTTCAACAAATTAATTTTTAAATATTATTTTTTTTTAATTAACTAATTACATTCCAAGTGCTTATCGTGAGTGTACACTTGATTGCCATGGTTTTCATTCGACGTTTAATACATTTATCATCAAGTTCTAAGCTTGGTGGCTCTTGTTCTCAGCATAAGTATTCATCCCTGCAACCCATTATACTGAGACCAAAGCAATGAGTAGCTACAGCTACAACTTCATCTATAGAACGCTTGAATATTGAACATTATGCATACAAACACACATACATCAACACACACATATATATGGAGTGTGTCTATATGGGTTGTGCGCCACAATGCCATCGCAAACAGAGGGTGGAAAGCTAACAACCCGGTCGACGGCGCAAGCAGCCGACTCAAAAGCATCGAATTAACTCCCGGTTCCTTTGATACATTACGTACGTCGTGTGCTCACGCGTGCGTGCGCTTGTGTTGCGAAGCACCGAGTTGAACAAACTCGCGACGATCAAATGAATAACACTAGTTTCTTTACGATTTTAATTCGTGTAAAGCATTCGTGTTTGACTGGTGGTGGGGAAGTTTAAGTATACAAGATGGCGTTTAATGGCATTAAAGTTGCCTACATCAACTAACTTAACGACGAATTAAAGCAAACTCGAGCCACTTAATATTCTCGTTGGAGACCGTTCAAGAAATGATTGAAAATCATAACAAGGGCTTCGATAGAATAGATTAGGGCCAGATGGGGCGCCCAAACCCTTGAACCTTTGACCTTGTTTATTCTAACTTGTACTGGAGTTAAAATTAACAAGTATATATAGATTTATATGTTGTGTATAGGTAAATTAACTTGTTTTTGTTTTTTCTTGGTTTTTATTTAAAAAAAAAACGAATGTTGGGGTTTCTAGCGTCTCTGATTTGTTAGATTTCTTTTCCGAGTAACAGAAATCAATCAAAACATTGGAAAATGCAATTACAAACATTAAATCTGTGGATTTAATTATTTACATCCTGCTGCGATTCAATTTAGATTTCAATTAAGACATTTGCGTAAATAACATTTTTATTGACTACATATTACATAAAATAAAACCTAAAATAGAAAAAAAGTCAAAGAAATATCCAAATCTATAAAACTGAATCGCAAAATCTGTTGGTACGCGCATAACTCAACAACGCCTCGATCAATTTTGCCAATTCTTTTTTTAAAATGTTCGTTAAAGTCCAAGGATGGTTTTTACAGCGAGAAATATTCGAATAATTGCCAAGAGAGCCCTAAAGACAGCCCTTTTCTATAGGATTAAAGTTGGCATTGAGATTCAATCATAGTTATAGTTAAATAGTTGAATCCGAGATGGCGCGCAGAAGTGCACTATTAGCAATTCTTTATATAATTAATTTGTTTAAAATAAAATTGCTAATCTTATTGATAGAATTTCCACATACTATGTCTAGAACAAGAGAGTAAAACCGAATTACATTTTTATTAAACACTACTGGGACGATGTCGCGGACTAAAGCTAGTAATAAATTAATACCACCATTAAAGAAGCAAAATAATTGTTAAATAAGGTTATATCGTTTCAAACCATAAAAAGTTTTGTTTTTATATTAATAACAAACCTATATTAATTCAATTAGTTGTTTTAATTATTAATAATAATTTAAAGTGGCAATTAAATATTGATTTTGAAGTAAAAACTTGTTTTGCTATTTTAATAAAATAATTAATAAAATAAAATTGAAAATATTTTATTAATTTATTTATTTTCAATTCCACTTTAAACAATATTTAATCATGTTACATTGTCATTTAACGTTGATTAGTTTATAAATTAATGCAATTAGTGCGCAAAATAGTAATTACTCGACAATTTCCTCTCGCAAAATGCACATTTACATGATAATATCATAAAATTCACGTATAATATATTTTTGAGTAAATCTCTGAAAATGATGGACGCTTAATACATTTAATGGCGAGTAGATTATAAGACCCTGAACGTTCACATTCAGCCCGTAAATGCTCCGATTCAATCCCGAGCAAATTACATTTATTGACGGCATGATGGGCATCCAGCTTCTGCACAAACATTTTCACATTCCCTGCTTCGCCACCAAAAATAGTTTTCGCGTTTTTTTATGTCTTCGGATGTCTTTTAACCGCTGTGAGTTGCATTTTCTTTGTGTGCGAATCTAATTGAAGCCCGAATTCTCTCGGGAGTACATGAAATTGAAGCGCTCTACATAATTAAGTGAAGCACTCGAAGATTTAGTAGCGGCAAGTAAGTGAAAACCCTGCGAATATTTTTCGCAAGCTCAAGATGAAATGCAAGTGGCGCAAACGGTCGAGGAAATTAATTAAGCGCGCTGGGTGCGATATTGAGATGAGACTCACCGGCACACCGCCGACTCCAATCACGTAGAGTAGTTGGGTCATGAAGAGTGCCGCCAGCAGATTCATCAACGTCGTGCCGGCCAAGTTTCGCAAATCGGAGAAGAGGCTGCAAGAACATGTTTCAATCATTAAATTAATTGCAAAGAATCACAAACAGCAAAATAACGAAAACAAAAAAAATAATTTTCGCATATTTTTCGTGTTTTTCCAACTAATTTAACTCGTTGTTTAACTCAAATTATTTTTCAATTTAGGTGTTTAATTTCTCATCTTTTGCTGTTATTATTTTTCGCTCCAGTGAAACTTTTTTAATTTAAAAATGTAATATCAGTCGTAAATAAAACAAAAAATCTGTCGCTGCGAGTCGCAGCCGGTAATAAATCAGTACACGTGTATTCCACACATTAAGCGCGAATTGCTCGTTTTCTTGAAATAATTCCTTGAAGAGGAACAACGCGGCGGAAAGTTCCCGAAAGGCAATTTACTCGAAACGGCGGCGACACGACGGAATCAATTCCGTCGCGCGCGGGTGAAAAGGTGCGAGAGTATGAGGGCTGTAATCGCGTGGAAACCGCATTAAAGCGCACGGGATCGATGGAAGTTGGAAATTATTTGCCGCGCGTCCGAGGCATAAACTTTGAAACATTTATTATGATCCTGATCCACTATTCACTATTCATTGGTTCGCACGTTTCAACTTAAAGCGGGCAAGATGTGAAAATCGATCTTTTCGAGGCGTTCAGGGTTAGTTAATCGAACTAATCAAAGTTATAATTGGTGAGATAAATTAAGCACTAAAATTAGTTTCACCTGAAAAATAGGGATATATGTATGAGTGTAGTTTATTAAATTAAAATTGTATTTTCTATTTGGTTGTTTTTTTTTATTTGGACGATTTGTTATTTTCTGGCTGCGACTCAGATTTCCAGATTCAAATACAATTTTTGGAGATGTTTATGTTTATCCTATTTTCCAGCATTCCGAATCTTGATATTTTGTTTTGTATCAGCAGTAAGCTTTACTCTCCTTTTTTTGGCGAACGAGTAGCAAAGCAGATAAACAGATATTGCTTTGAATAAAATCTTGTTTTTGCCAATATTCTGTTATTTTATTTATTTTGGTAAAAAAAAACTTAGTTTAACTAGAATAATTGTAAAATGTTTCCTTTTATTTAATTGTGTATTATATTGTATCTATAATATAAAAATGAATCGCAAAATCTGTTGGTAAGCGCATAACTCAACAACGCCTTGACCAATTTGGCCAATTCTTTTTTTTAAATGTTCGCTAAAGTCCAAGGATGGTTTTTACGGTGAGAAAAATTCGAATAATTGCCGGGAAAACCCTAAAGACAGCCTTTTTCTATAGGATAAAAGTTGGCATTGAGATTCAATCGTAGTTATAGTTAAATAGTTGAATCCGAGATGGCGCGCTGAAGTGCATTATTAGCAATTCTTTATATAATTAATTTCTTTAAAATAAAATTGCTAATCTTATTGATAGAATTGACTCTTACTACGTGTATGTCTAGAACAAGAGAGTAAAAATGAATTACATTTTTATTAAACACTACCAGGATGAAGTCGCGGGCAAAAGCTAGTACATGTTAAATGTTGCTGCAAACATATTATTTTTCCATTTATTCCGGAAAAATAATTGAGGTGAACTATCATAACCTCAATTTCTTGCAAAAAATTGTTTTTGGAAGCAAATTAAATGTTCTTCAATTTATTTCAATGAATATATGAAATAAATATTTGAGAATATCGAGTGTTTTTAGTAAAAAATAATAATTTAAATAGTTCAGCATCAAAATATTGATAAAAATGTTGTTTTCGTAAAACACTTGGCATTATTTTATTTGTTTTTGTAAAATAATTCGAATTTAACTATTTTAAATATAAAATATTTATCAACAAACCCCTTTCCAAGTTATTTTTGCGAAGAATTTAATTTTTTCTCCTTTTAACACCAAATTTTTGAAGAAAAAAAGTAGTTTTTACTAACATCCCCATTCTATTTAGCAAAAAAAATTGTGTTTAACTAGTTTAACCTCAAAATGTGTGCTTGTAAATCTAGTCCATTGCAACTTCTAACCATGGGAAAGATTTATAGCTTTAGTTCGAACATCCTGTCACTTTTCGCACTTTGAACACGTCTGTTTGTTAACCAGCGGCGGCGCCCAAAATAAACACTTCAAAACAGGGTTAAACTAGCCTACAACAAATACGAGCTGCTGAAACAGTCAGCTATCCCTCCATATGTATGTGTACATTGCGACACCAAATCCGAACTAGTTTTCCCAATTTACCGGACATCAACGTTAAACAACACTACAAAAACAAATACCAACACGTTACACTTCGAATTTACATTGGGCTAAACTAACATATTCTTTTAACATCACCTACAGTGTCGTAGAAATATTTATTCTACGTATTTCCGTATTTAATATCTCATACAAAATAGTATATTAAATAACAAGTGGCTAAACGAGGGCTTTAAGAACGTTTAACCACGAGGTGCTTATGCAATTTTTTCTACTTCCACTCTAGTTCCACGTTGCGGTTTTTGTATTTCAACTTTTTATTTTAAGGGGGTATTCTACTCTAGAGGCATGAATTTCATTTGATTTTTGAAAGGCCGTAAAAAAAAATCAATTAATATTTTTACTATCCATTTTTTAACACTTATTTATTAATGTTTTGAGAATACAAAAAAAAATAAAAACTGAAAAAAGTTCAAAATTTTAAATTCCAGCAGGTGATGAAGTGGGAGGTCCCAAAAAATTGGCACGTGACCGTACCCATGATTTTAGCCCACCAAGTGATCTGAATTAATCTAGAATAATTAATTATTAATCAAGAATAATGTCGCAATCATATGAACTTCGGACAAGTGAAAAAAACAGTTTTACACAAAATGGCGACTGTTTGAAAAAATAGTGATTTTTTTACCCTTATTTTTTGATATTCTAGATTTTTTTGGAATATTTAAAATCGGAATTTGGGGATTAGCGTAGTTCATTTTAAAGAAAAGTCTATAAAGAAGACTCTGTAAAAATTTCAAGTAAATCGGTTCAGTAGAAGTTGAGAAATCGTGGGTACCGTCTCGAAAAATACAGTTTCGAGAAAAACACGTTTAAAGTTTTGCGTCAATGCGAACCAGTATGGATGCCGCGTCACCAAAACGGCTATATCTCGGAAAATAATTTAAATTTTGAAAAATCCTCTTGTACACGTATTCTTGAATAGTTAAACTTTCAAAATATCAAAAAAAATCGATTTTTTGAAACCCCTAGAGTAGAATATCCCCTTAATCGAAATTTGCCCACACACTTATACAAACTGTAAGGTTATAAGTGCCATGTCGCACGCCGGCCCATGTGACGCTTCGATTCATATCGTGCTCCTCCGATACGAGCAGCAGCAGCGCCTGCTTTAACGTGTTTGACATTTCATACCGCCTTGTGCTACTCCGAAGGCAAATGCGCAGGCGCTTGCTCCGTCCCGTGCATAATGCTAGTACATAATGAATATTATGTACGGCTTGACTGTCCGTATATAAAGTACCACTTTTTGTGTCTAAAAACCGTGGAAAAACTGGCGCTTTATATGTGGAAGTAGAAAAAAAATGAAATGAATAGCGTGTCTCCTGCTGACTTCACATTTAAGTATGAAAAATAAGATAAACAAAAGCAAAAGATAAAGATTAGTCTGTCACGTCGGGAATTCAGTTTGGTATGAAACGCATGTACTGAACTTGGCCGAAGACAATAAATTACGATTAGGAAGACTATTTGTCCTGTTTCGTCCTTTTTCTTTATCGCCTGGTTCCTTCAATTTCTCTTCATCTGCTTGAATTCAGTTGGAATCCGACTTTTCCATGTTCCAGCACATCCTAGCAGATTGCGCACACGTCGTCGAAGCTAAATGCTTGTGTTGCTGACTGAGCAGCGCCCGCTACAAACACCGTAACATATTATCCGCGCGTTTCTCGTGTTTTCGACTCGGCGCATTTTCGTTTCGCATCCGCAGGACTAACGTAATAAACAACCAGTGTGTCCGTTTCCTTGCGGAAGGGTTGCGTTCCGCAACAAGGTGGATCGACGCATTCACCAGGCGGAAACTATGTTTGCAGCCCAAGGATGTTTCAATGCAGCGGGAATTCTACATTAGCTCCGGCGTGTTTTACATATTTTAGTTTGAAAACAAAACAAAATAATCCGTTTAAAACAAGCCGTTATTTAACGTAAATAAATCGAGAAAATCTGTGCAGGGTTTTCGTTCGGCGTTTATAATAGTAGTAAAAATTTTATGCTCCGCGCACAAAAAAATCAATAAGTATTAACTTTAAGCTCCAACCAGTCAGTAGGATTTATTAACAATAGTAGCAAATCCTCTATTTTAGTCTAGGGGATAAAATCAGATAGTATTTGAGTTTTTTTTTTTGTGTTTTTAAGTAAAAAATTCATAATCTTGGAAAAAATTACCTTGACGAGTGGGATAGGCTTTTTGTGTGTTTTTAGACGAGTACTGGTATATTACTCCCTGAAGTACACTTATTCCGCTGCTCGCAAGTCACTTCTAAACCACTCCTTATTTTATTTATGGAGCGCCTTCTTCTGCCCGTGACTACGGAGGTAATTTAATTTTTATTACCAACATGCTGGTGCTGCGCCATTATCATCTTCAGTTTACGCGATACTCAACTCGTATGCAGCCATATCTTGCGAAAATCATTAAATATCTACGAAAACTGTAGCAATACTTTGGTATAATTACAGAATATATAATAAAAACCATTGCGTAACGGCAATATATGGTGATGTATCTGTGTTTTTAGTGACAGCAGTCATGACAGATTCATACGCTTTCGTGTTACGCGCTTGCGCTTTGAGTTTGGATGTAGAATTGCAACATCGCACACACATTAGAAAGGTATTAGTGCCAGTGTAGTCAGTGCAGTCATTGTTGAGATTGAAGAAAATTGCGATTTCCAGTTTTATATTTTTCTTGAAAAAGCGGATTTGTGTAAGGAGATGCAACGTTTCAATAACTGGTAATATCTTACATTTAAATTTGAATTTCGTTGAAATGCGAGGTT